TTCACAGAACTGGAAAAAACCACCTTAAACTTCATATAGAACCAAAAGAGAGCCCACATAGCCAAGTCAATTCTAAGCAAAAAGAACAAAGCTGGAGGCATCACAAACTATACTAGAAGGCTGCAGTAATCAACACACCATGGTACTGGTACCAAAACAGAGATATAGACCAAACTATACTAGAAGATAGTCTATACTCGATATAGACTTTGAAGTCTATACTAAATATAGACTTCAAACGATACTAGAAGGCTACAGTAATAAACACACCATGGTACTGGTACCAAAACAGAGATATAGACCAATGAAACAGAACAGAGGCCTTGGAGGCAATCTGCAACCATCTGATCTTTGACAAACCTGACAAAAACAAGCAATGGAGAAAGGAGTCCCTGTTTAGTAAATGGTGTTGGGAAAACTGACTAGCCATGTGCAGAAAGCAGAAACTGGACCCCTTCCTGACACCTTACACTAAAATTAACTCTAGAAGGATTAAAGACTTAAACATAAGACCTAACACCATAAAAACCGTAAAAGAAAACCTAGGCAAAACCATTCAGGACATAGTCATAGGCAAGGACTTCATGACCAAAACACCAAAAGCATTGGCAACAAAAGCCAAAATAGACAAATAGGATCTGATTAAACTCCAGAGCTTCTGCACAGCAAGAGAAATAATCATTAGAGTGAACTGGCAACCAACAGAATGGGAAAAAGTTTTTGTAATCTACCCATCTGACAAAGGGCTGATATCCAGAATCTACAAAGAACTAAAACAGATTTACAAGAAAAAAACAAACAAGCCCATTCAAAAGTGGGTGAAGGATATGAACAGACACTTTAAAAAAGAAGACATATATGAGGCCAACAAACATATGAAAAAATGCTCATCATCACTGGTCATTAGAGAAATGCAAATCAAAACTTCATTGAGATATCATCTCAAGCCAGTTAGAATGGCGATCATTAAAAAATCTGGAGACAACAGATGCTGGTGAGGATGTGGAGAAATAGGAATACTTTTACACTGTCGGTGGGAGTGTAAATTAGTTCAACCGTTGTAGAAGACAGTATGGCGATTCCTCAAGGACCCAGAAATAGAAATTCCATTTGATCCAGCAATCCCATTACTGGGTATATATCCAAAGGATTATAAATTGTTTTACTATAAGGACACATGCACACAAATGTTCATTGCAGCACTGTTTACAATATCAAAGACTTGGAATCAACCCAAATGCCCATCCATGATAGACTGGACAGGGAAAATGTGGCACATATACACCATAGAATACTATGCAGCTATAAAATACAATGAGTTTGTGTCCTTTGAAGGTACATGGATGAACCTGGAAACCATCATTTTCAGCAAACTGACACAAGAACAGAAAATCAAATACCACATGTTCTTACTTATAGGCAGGTGTTGAACAATGAGAACACATGGACAGAGGGAGGGGAGCATCATACACTGGGGTCTGTGGGGGGGAAACAGGGGAGGGACAGAGCAGGCTGGGGAGTTGGGGAGGGATAACATGGGGAGAAATGCCAGATATAGGTGATGAGGAGGAAGGCAATAAACCACATTGCCATGTATATACCTATGCAACAATCTTGCATGTTCTTCACATGTACCTCAAAATCTAAAATGCAATAAAATATATATATTAAAAAAAAGAAAAAAAATTCAAATATTTTACTTCATACTCTTTGGAATCCCATTTTGTACTACTTGCCTCTGCATTAACTGCCTATTTGCTTGTATGCAATCTCTGGATCATAAACTCGTTCAAGATCAGGTCAGTTTTCTAACAGCTAATACCATATCTGGCATATCAGTATAAATGGTATAAATGATTAATGAATGACTAAATGGCTGAATCAAAAAATTAATCAATCAATGTAGTGAACATCAAAGTCACCAGTAGTCTATGGAATGGGTAATTTCATCTGCCTGTCTGCAACCTTCTGGAGTCTTTCCATCCTCTAAAGAGCCTTTCCACATTTTTAGACAGGGGTTAGATGGGGTTTAGAATGACGTGTAAGACTTCTGAGCCTCCATTATGTAATTCAGCTAAGTTTGAAACCTTAAATTTACTCAAAGATCTCAAAGCCTCTCTTATTTTTCCTGGACTTGAGTTTCCTTTTACCAGTATTTCTCCTGATGCTTTTTATTCTGTAGAAATTCTATTTATAATATTTAGTTAATTAAAATCATGAAAGTTATTATCATTATACTTATAAAATAAGCTATTAATTTTAAAATGTTAAAGCAAAGTAGGTTTTCTGAATTAATAGACACAAAGTCTTTGAATATTAGTATTTGGGAAAACAAAGGAAATTTGGTATAAGGAAAAAAAAAAATCTATCAACTAAACCCCTGATAAATGTTGACCGGAAAGAATTAAATGATAATAGTAATAATCAGGATCACAAAAGTAACCGATTCTGTTGTCTTATCTCATATTTAAATACTCTCAACTGTAAAATCCATTATAAACTGTGAAATTACAATTGTTTTCCAGCAGAAAGTGACCATTAATAGAACTTGTGATCAATTCCTAATTGAGAAGGAATTTTAAAGACATGCCTCTGGTTCATAACATGTAGGAAAAAAATCTGACACACAAAACTGGGATTTTATTATAAGCATTTTTCTGGTTCACAAACACCAGCTATTCTCAAATAGTTTTAATTAACATGTCAACATTGTCTAGTAAGTATCAACCTTTTTATTGCCCAGACTTTGTAAAGGGTTTGTTTGACATTAGCTTGCATTTGCCCTAACAATTCCAAAGCCTTTTTTCAAAAAAAGCTAATCATCATGGAGAGATATGAGAAAGGAACACACAATCCAGAGGTGAATATGAGGTCACACTCATGACTTTCTGAAACAACAGCAAAAGCAAAAGGAAAAAAAGATAACAAAAAAAATTTTTAAATGGTCTTTTAACAGAGACAAAAGCAGTTTACTTCCAAAAGCATGTTGTTTACTACTATGCCTATTTGGAATATTGTATCCCCAAATCTGGCTCATAAATCATGTTACAAACACCTTTATAATTTAAAGATATAGCCCAGTTAATTCTGAAGCACAAATGTGTAAAATTTCTTCACTTCCCTGACTTGAAGAGCAAATATTTTTTCATGTTGTACATGAAAAGAAATCCTGAAGAATTTCCCTGAACCATAGAACTGTAAGTCTCACTTAAATTTCCACACTAAGCAAGGTGGTAAGATCAATAACAAAGGAAAACATTCTTGAAGCAACCAAACAAATAGGAGTTTGATAGGATCACAATGGGATGATTTACTTAGTCCTTTGATGGATTCTGGATAAAAGAATAAACATCTGGGGTTATGGGTTACTACAGTTCCCTATTTTAAACCTTTATTTTTCTAACTTTTCACAATTTGTATGTATGACATTTGCCATTGTAAATAAAATTAAATATTTTGCTATGGCTGTTGAGAGTGGAACGGCACATCTAAGCTGGGGTACATACGAATAAAGGTAGATTGAAAAGAGTTAGGCTAAATTGCATTAAAGATTGTTTTAAACAATGAGTCAAAGAGACTGGAAAAAAGAAAAAGTCATTTGATCAGAAAATAACAGAATTATTCATGAAAAACCTCACTCTTTGCTTTTTCAAAAGCAAATTGCTGGTAGAGAGAATTGATTACTTCTATTTATGGCAAAGGGCAAAGAGTGGAGTTTTTCATGAATAATTCTGGGGTCATTTTTATCTAACATCTTATAAATGATCCAAAACAGAAGCGCAGAGTGAAATCTCACAGTTCAGAAGCATGCAACTCTTACAGACAGTGAAGGGACAAGTGAATGAAGATAAGCAGTAGTAAATTTTTCAGAATCTGCAATGGGCAGTATAACATATAGAGAGCCCTTTAGAGGTAGAGACCATGTAACTTCATTCAACTCTCTATCTCTAGCTCCAATCACATGATAGAGACTCCAATATTTTTCCATAGATAAAAGAAGGAAAGTTTGTAAAATGGAAAACCAAAAAGTTAAGTCAAGGACAGCAATCTATGATACTAAAGAATTATAAGCTTAAGAACAGTCCATTTTTATTTACATCTCTGCAAAAGAACAAGAAAATGGATGGAAAAAGTGAGCTCAATATGACCCTGGGACTAAGATCACAAAGTCTTATGCAGTTCAGTGCAGCAAACATTGAGCATACAAGGAGACCCTGCTATAGATAGACTTGAAGTGAATGGCAGTAAAGGGACCTGGATTAAATAATTAAACTCCCCAGTTGAACATAATTGAGCTCCTTACAACTCTCTAATTTTAGTTAGCTATTTGCACTTGGCTTACACTCTGATAAATATTCACCCTTGTAATAAGCAACTTTATGAAAGACAATGGCTAAACAGAGAAGTTAGAACAAGAGATTAACTTTTGAAAAATTCCAAATTTTTGTACTGAAATTTTTTTTTTCAGCTTTGATTTCATAGACTGCATTTTCATGGCCACATTTGGCATGTTTCTCTGTCCCTTTGGTTTTCTGCAAATTGATAGTTTTACAGGTTCCAGCAGATTTAGGTTCAACTTTAGCAAAAATATTATTTGAGGATATGTTTCTTTTAAGAAGACTCTCAACTGTCTTTCAGAGGCCAATGTGATGCGAAAAAAGTTCACTTAAATAATATCATTTTAGGGGTGTATTTCAGAAAAAATATAACTCATAAATAAAATATTTATTTACTCATTTTACTCCAAATAGCTGTACAGACAATTCCAAAAATAGTTGCAAAGACTTTTTTTTTAAAAGCACTGTCATTGAAATAAATGTAAGACACTCTCAAGGTGACAATTTTTTTGTGAGGTATGAAATTCCCTGTATGTTTGGAAAATTAATCCTTGTTGCTGTGACTTTACTATTTTATGATCCTGATTCTCAAAAGTTAAAAGCCTAGTTAGGGATCCACAACAGACATAATAAAATGATTAAAGAATACAAACAAATGCATTAAAAGGTACTTAATAAAATGTCCTCGGAAGTAGGTGGCAATGCCTTAATTGTCTCACATGTTGTCAGGCCCAAGTGCCTCTTCCATCTTTGTCATCGTGAGTGCTAACTTTCTCTCCTTTTATACAACACAGTAAAATGTCCTTGAGAAGACGTAATTCTCACAAAAAAAAAAAAAAAGAGAGTATTTTTTTTATTTGGGGAATATCCAATACTATTAAAATCTTGATAACTAAGCCAAATTTGAAAACCTATAGTTATTGGCAGGAAGAAATGCTTGAGGACAGTCATTTGATGACTCTTGAAAGAAACAGAATGGCGAGGGGAAACAAGGAATTATTAAAATTATTTACATTTCCAAAATTCAATGACTATACAAATGTTTAGACAAGTTACATCTGTGCTTGATTTTAGATTCTTATTTCACACATCAAACAGATGTAATACTGTCTTGTTGAATGTAGCAAAGTTAAACATAAATAATATTGATTGTATTCACTATAAATAAATAGACTGATTTTAATAACTGCTATAAAAATAGCTTAGGAAGCAGTGGGTTTTAAAAAAATTCTAAGTTAATACAATATCAGAATTGCATTAAAAGAATCTTTTAGAGTGTGAGGAAATGTGTTTACAAGAGGTTATCAGTAGTTAAGCTAATCAAGAAAGAAACTCAACAGAACTTTTAGTCCAAGGACATTCCTTTATCAAGATTTTTTTCATTTAGGAGTTCTCCAATCAGTCATTCTGAGAATTACCATATATGTCCTCATGAGATGTACTTATCAATGGAATATAAAATAAACCATATGATAAAATATCCTTTAATTCTCTGATGGTATTCAGTGTGGGACAACGTGATGCGGCAACGGGTAGAAGAACATAACCTGGAAATTGCCTGATGAAAGTTTTGTGTAGGCAATATATAAAACATCTGTTTGCCACCCCATGTCCAGCCACATGATAGATCCTATGAAATACTCCTGAATTGTGTCCACATAAATATCGCCTTTAATTGTACTCTGGGCCTATAACAGATCAGGATATCTATCAAGAGTAATCATGATGTAAAAAGAAAGTATGAGTGCATATTTATGTGTCTATGATTTTTTATTTATTTCGGATGAGACTGTGACTATGTTTTGTGTTCACTGAAAATTTACCTACCCTTTTCTCCCTGCCTTTTCATATAGTTAAAAGATAGCAGCAGTTTAATTTATCCTCCTGACATTTGCTTAAACATATTTCTAATGATCTAGGCAATGTATTGTAGCTAATGCATCTTACTTGACCTATCAGGAGTATTTGACACTCTTAATCACTTCTTATTCATTGAAACTCTTCTGTCTTGGCTTCCAGGACCCCACACTTATCATTTCCCCCTCCACAACACTGAATGCTCCTTTGTCCTTTTCTAGCTATTTTTCATCCCTTTGACCTCCAGCCATCAAAGTGCCCAAGGATGAGTCCATTGATCTTTGCTTTACCTACACTCCCTCTCTTGGTGATCTTATGCAGTCTAAAAATTTAAATACTAGCTATGCCAAACACTCCCAAATTTAGACTTCCAGCCTACTTTTCTCTCAAACTGCAATCTTATATTCCCAACTCCCTCTTCAGGACCTTCACTTTAATATCAAATAGACAACTCAAATGCAACATGTCCCAAACTGTAGTTCTGTATCTCAGTCCCAACCTACATTCTGCAATCTTCTCCATCTGGTAAGTGTGATGTAAATCGTTCTGGTTGCTGAGACCGGCCCACTAGAATCAGCGATGGTTCTTCTTTTCCTCTCAAGTCTCAAATTCAATCTCAGCAAATCCTGTTGATTCTATTTTCAAAATATGTCCATAACTGGCTTTTTCTTCACTTCCCAGGTGCTGATACAAGTTCCAAATCATCATTATCTATTACCAAGATTAAATCTGTAGCTTTGTAACTGGTTTCCCTGCTCCAATCTTGGCCACAGCCCATCTACCCCTTACCAATCTGTTTTCAACCCAGAAGCCAGAGAGATTCTTTTAAGCCTAAGTCATGGCATGAAACTCTTCCCAAACTTCTCTTATCTTTCCTAGATTAAAATCACTCCAGAATGAAAGAAAGAGACAGAGTTAGAGAGGAAATGGAGCTGGGCACCTATCATGAGGGCTCTGAAGGCCTTCTTCAGAGCTTGGGATTCTGTGGGAGACGGGAGATTTTGCAATGTTTTTAGCAGACTATTTTATGTCAGAGAGTGATAATAGCTCCAAGAAAAGTAAAGCAGAGAAGTGGGGAAGGAGAGACTGGTGTGAGAGGTGATGGCAAAAACTGCAATTATTTTTGCACCAACCTAGTAATATTAAACAGACTGAGTCAGCAAAAACCTAAAACCCAGAAGGGAGTATGAATGAAACCCAGAAGTTGTATGAATATCTGGAGGTATGTTATTCTAAGAAGAAGAAACAGTAAATGTAAAGGAAGGCCCTAATTTGGGAGTATAGCTTACTTATTCAAAGAAATTTTACTTCACATGATATGCATTTAATAACAACTTGTTGAATAAACAATTAGATAACTCTTAATTTAGATGTAATTACTTATATTGACCCAAACTTTAAAATTATTTTCAGTGGCCCAATTTCATAATTAATACAGTCCCAATAAATGTCAGAATCTACTGGCTTTCGTTTTTCACATGCCATTAGGTAAAGAGACAGAAAATGTTCTAAGGACACATTTAAAAAATCCTTTTCTGACAACTCCAGTCCTCCCAGTCTGGAGAAGTATCCCTTCCCTGTGCTATTATGCTTTACTATGGTATGTTAACCCTCATGATACTGGATGTACTTGTGTCTAACCCCACTATTAAGATTTTAGGAGTTAATAAATAAATTATTCCTTGTTTAAGAAAGGTAGACACAGGAATTGAACACATAGATTTTAAGATGTTAGTTGTATTACTGACTTACCAAAAGAAGAAAAAGTTTGGAATAAAGATGTATGACCAAATAATCATGATAATATTCATTACTGAGTTAGATATCTAATACTCATTTTACTAGATGTCATAGTTGGACTAACATTGGCTTTGTCTGATCCGTGGAAAATTCTCCTTTTACTGCCTAACGGAAAGCTGATATGAGCATTTGCTTCCTGCAGGCAGAAGAGTCTAGATCTGAGTACTTCCACAGGGGTGAAGCCATGTATGCCTAGTACTCAATCCTAAATTCTCCATCAGATAAAACATTTAACCTTCTCTGGGGAGGATTGGTAAAAAAGCAGAGAAAACCCAAGATTGATTATTTTCTTCAACAGTATTAAGCCATGAAGTCTCAACACTCATGGATGCCTGTCTATCATGTTCTCCATTTAATTCTCAGTGCTTACGAAAGTGCCTGGTATACAAAAAGTGAAAAATAAATACTGGATTAAATAACTAGTTAAATATTATGGCAAAAATCTAGTATTATCCTTACCTCACTCCCCAAAATCTAAACCAGACAAAATTTTCCAGAGGAGGCAAGCTAGATGGAATATATGCTTAAGCTTCTTGCTTAGTTTCCATAGCATCCTACCAATACTGTCAAAACTTACTTTTATGTCTACTTTACAATTAATCACCAAGATAATATTTCTCATTCCTCTAGAAAAACTACACATTGAGAAAAATGTTAAGAACCACTCTCTTGTTTTGGATAAATAGGAGCCAAGTACTGGCCAGAGGTACGGAATGGGTGATCAGAGTGATCCAACACAGTAGACATGTAAGGAACATATACCATCTAACTGAGGTGTCACTCCAAATAAACCAAGTAGAGAAATAAAAATCCAATTTATTTTTAATTTTAACTGTGATGGCTATATAGTAGGTATATATATTATGGGATATCAAATATGAGATATTTTGATACAAGCATACGATGCATAATAATCACATGAGGGTAAATGGAGTATCCATCACCACAAGCATTTATCCTTTTTTGCGTTACAGACAATCCAATTTACTTTTTTGGTTATTTTTAACTGCACCATAAATTACTGTTGACTATAGTCACCTTGTTGTTCTATCAAATATTAGATCTCATTCATTCTATTTTTTTGTACCCATTAACTATTCCTACTTTCCCCAACCTTCACTACGTTTGTAACCTCTGGTAACCATCATTCTACTCTCTATCTCTGCAAGTTCAATTATTTTAATTTTTATATCTCACAAATAAGCAAAAACATGTGAAGCTTGTCTTTCTGTACCTGGCTTATTTTACTTAACCAAATGACCTCCAGTACCGCCTATACAGCTTCAAAAGACAGGATATCATTTTTTTAATGATTAAATAGTACTCCATTGTGTACATGTACCACATTTCCTTATTCATTCCTCTGTTGATGGAAACTTAGGTTATTTCCAATTCTTGGCTATTGCAAATCATGCTGCAGTAAACATGGGAGTGCAAATATCTCTTCAAGACACTGATTCTCTTTTTGGAAAGCATATACTTAGCAGTGGGATTACTGAATTATAAGTTGGTTCCTTTTTAGTTTTGGGGGGAACCTCCAAATTATTCTCCATAGTGATTATAATAATTTATGTTCCTACCAACAGTATACAAAGGTTCCTTTCCTTCACATGCCGCCAGTATTTATTATTACCTTTCTCTTGAATAAAAGCCATTTTATTGGGATGAGATGATATATCATTATCGTTTTGATTTGCATTTCTCTGACAATCAATTATATTGAGCGCCTTATCATATATCTATTTGCCATCTATGTCTTCTTTTGAGAAATGTCTATTCAGATTTTTTGCCCATTATTAAATCAGATTATTAGATGTGTTCCTACAGAGTTGTTTGAGCTCCTTACATATTCTGGGTTTTAATACCTTATTAAATGCATAGTTTGCAAATATTTTCTTCCCCTATTTGGGTTATGTCTTCACCCTGTTGCTTCCTTTACTATGCAGAAGCTTTTTAACTTGATGTGATCCCATTTGTTCATTTGTGCTTTTGTTGTCTGTGTTCATATAACTCAATAAACTTCACCCAGTCCAATGTCTTAGAGAGTTTCCCCAAAGCTTTAATTTTATAGTTGAAGGTCTTAAATTTTAAGTCTTTAGTTCATTTTGATTTGATTTTTACATATGGTGAGACAT